GGGTTCGATCCCGGGTCTGGTCAAGTGGGATTTGTGGTGGACAAAGTGGCGCTGGGGCGGGTTTTCTCGGAGTACTTCGGTTTCTCCTGCCAATCTTCATTCCACCAAATTCTCCATCATCATAATCACCCAGAGCAGGTATAATAGGCCAATCAGTGGCCGCCGTGCCGAGTGGACCCAGCTGGACTCCACCCCCACTAAGTAAGTAAGTAAGTAAGTAAGTAAGCAAGCCTGTTGAAAATGAACCGAAGTTTCGGAGGAAGATGTTCATCTTCCGGTCGAAGAATAAACCAATAAGAAAACAGCGTGAAGCAGGTAGGAAGTAGAACTAGTGTTTATTTAAAATGACACATATTCAAAATGTCGAAATTTCGGTTAAGACGAGCTTTGAGCCAAAACTTGCTTCACGACGCTATGTCATCACGGATCTTTAAATAAATTCCCTCTATTTCAATTTTTGGCGGTCCTGGCTTCATATTTCAGCCATGTTATCCCGCTTGAGAGTTTTAGTGGTTTTTCTCAGTCCCTCCAAGCCACTGCTCGTATAGTGCCTTGAATTAGGATCAATCCTTTCCAATTCAATATCGACTCATTATCCTACAGTACAACTCTGACAGCTTCCTCAAATAAATCTGATTAAATGTTGGTTCTGAACATCGCAGTTGATGGGCTGGAATTTATAGTTTGGAGGTTCCGCGTCTGAAGGCCTTTGCTGTTATGATTAAGTTTTTTTTTTGTGATTTTCTTTAATCCCTTCAGCATAATATTGGAAGAGGGCTTTAGAAGAGACAAAGGTCGATTCTTTCCACATTTTTTCTTATTGTCCCACATTTCAGAAAGTACCGTTAAACGGACGTACAAATGAACAAACAAACGAACACTAAAATTTTGAATGTCAGGTAATCTGCTTCGCGTAATGCACAGGTGCACTAATATCGTGACCTTCTCGAAAAAAATTATTATCATTTAGAATTTGACACATGTTAATCTGGTAAGTACTTTTACCCATTTTTCGGAAGCCTCTGAATATGGAAGCAGGACCTTCCTCCTAAACGGCGGTAAATAACGGAATACACGACGTTTTATCCCAGAAAACAATATGTTCTGAATGATTTTATCAATTTTTACTAAAAGAATAAAATATGTCTCCTGCCTCTGTTGTGGTAATTCTAATTAGTTGTAATTAGTTGTTAATGCGCTAATAATGAAGATCTCGATGTTCTGGATGTAATGTTCTGTAGTACGGTGGAAATCCACTGAAGTTTCGGGGGAACGTATCGCCTCCTTCTTCAGTGTCGAAAAGTAAGCGAAGCAAGGAACCAGCGATAGCCAGAAATTAAGTGTTTACAGCATTGACATACCAAATGAAGCAGTGCAGAAAGTTATGTGTATGTATGTTAATTCTGCAAGTAAGGCGAACAGGAACGTTAAATGTATTTCTCAGTTTCGCTGATGACATGGCCCGCGCGGACTGGGGCCTGATCGGTCTTCGTTCTCTCGGACGCTGGGATCGTGGGTTCTATTCCCACTCAAGGCATGGTTGTTTGTTTGCGTTTATTCTGTGTTTATGTTGTCCTGTGTGAGGTAACGGCCTTGTAACGAGCCGATCCCCCGTCCAAGGAGTCCTACCGACTGTGTATAGGACTAAGAAACTGGAAAAATGGCAAAGGCCCAACAAAGGGCTGTAGAGCCATAATAATAATAATAATAATAATAATAATAATTTCTCATTCTAGAATAGTACTGAATTCCTTAAAA